AAGGGATACCTTCCAACAGTCTTTTTCACAGCATCGGGAATTTCACTTACAACATTGAGAAAAATTCATTACAATGTGCAATTGCAAAACAAAATCTTGGTTATTATTTTTGCTAAACAACCCTTCACATCATTGCAAACAATCTTGATGTGAAACAGAATTCACAAGTTTGTAAAAGGTAATTATCCATAACAAGATCATGAACGAGATCTTAAAGAAATTTGCTGTTGCAAGTATATGAGACGTCCATTGGCTATTAACTTCAGAGTCTGATGCATGATGGCAAGGTTGAATATGGTTTGGTATTGGTAAATGAGAAGTACATCCTGCCCAACCAATGTGTTGATATAAACAGGACTATTCCTGTCCACAGTCAAAACTTTGGATTATGTCAGTCATGATGACTCACAGTTCACAAACAATACACTATTTCAAGTTTCTGAACTCTATTTATGAATTCTGATCACATCTTTCAAGAATGTTACTTTTGATCCTACATCGTCACTGATTCCAAATCGTCCAGTGGCCATTTGACTCCTAGTTGCCCCCCCCCCAATAAACCCACCTGGAGAAAGCAAATACAGCCATTTCGCCAGTTGTGTTCCTTAGGGGCCATGATACCAGTCCACAAAAAATACCTTTGAACCAGATGTTGCTGGTGGGAGTACTCCTCAATCTGGCTTTAATTGAGTCCCAAGGCGGCTTTGCCCAATCCCTCTCTAAACACCTCAATGGATAGATTACTGAAATAATGTATGACGAGTTGAAACCGAGACTGCAGTCTTTGGTGTGAGACCGAAACTCTCCCCTCCAGCATGAAGCCACACGTATTGATGCATACCACTTCTATATTAGACATTCATCTAGCTTGCTTGTTATTGTGTTTATCCTGGTGAATTGGGTTTTCTAGACCCTCCTGTAAAAAATATCAGACAAGGGTAACCCATGACAAACATGCACAGACTATTGGGACCATAGTCCATCCATCCATAGAGCTAGGACCCTGATGAGTGAGACTATTAATATTAATTAGTGAAGTACTTTCAAAAGAGATGGAATTAACATTATCAGAAGATCATTTGATTTTCTTTTAAATTTATACATGAAGGTATTAGGCCCCCAAAAATGCTTCCGATTACATGCCTTTCAAAAATAGGGTCGGTAGGTCGAAGAAAAAAAAGGACTTGAAGTGGTTTCTTAAAACAAATTGTACATAATAATCTGTAGTTTTTGTATTTGTTAAGTAATGTTAATGACTTTGTGGTTCACCCAGTATGACAATCCTTGGGAGCTATGTACACTGGAATATACTTAATTAATAAAATAACAAACTCAATGAGGATTGTTTTGCAAAATGAGCACTGAAGCTAAAAAAAAAACAACGGAAAAGTTAAAAAAAATATTAATTTTAACATTTTAACTGCATACATGTGTACCAATTCATGAAAACCTTCAAGCATCAAAGTTGTGCAGGACAAAGTTTTCATTATTTTGTCAAATTTGGGCAAAATTAATTCTCTTTTAAAGGTCCGAATTTCAAGCCTACATGTAAGTACACTTCAAAAAATTGTCTTATCCCTGCAGAACTTCCAACCCTTGCATTAGAGAATCAATAAATGCAATCGTCTGGATTTATCCTTGGGGCTTGAAATAAATGTAATACTAGACCATCAGTAGGTATCTGTGCATTAGTTAGACTTGGTGCAGGCTCCCTGTTTAGTTATTTTTAACCAATATTTGTTTCTGTGTTTTGATTATTAAAATGAATATATTGCCAAGTATTTGCAGCCAGGATGAGTTCTTGTGTATTTATTGATAATTGGCAAAATACAAATGTTGAAAACATTTGAAAACTGAAATATTGCAAGCATTTGTTATAAGATTCTGCATTCTAGAACTAAATAAAATTTCTCAAACTGTTGCAATTTAATTTAAAATTTGCTCCACAGATGGTTCAGTAGGTCCTTGATAATACTATTCATTCTCTTCAACATTTCAATTTTTTATCTCCTGAAAGATTTTGACCTTTTTCGTGTGAAAACAAAACAATCAAAAGTGCTATATTTTTGCTTATATTTGCACACAAATAGATCCATCCTGTGTGTAGACTACTTTTTGGTCCCCCGCATTAATATCAATTGCAAAGGGGACGTGAACATACCCTGACAGAATAGAATTATTGTCCGGCTATACATGGGCTAAATTTGTTGGTCAATGTCTTATTCAAAGGTGAATAACGTTAAAGATCTATTTTTAAAAAAGTGATATAACTTTAAATATCTGTTTACCAAATCTATTGGGTCGAACTTCAAAATAGTACAGACAGTGCATGTTTAAGCATGTAGACAGTCTATCATGACTGATATAACACCCTATCAGTCCCAGCCAGACTTTCCCAGCCTAGCCCCTGAGGTATGTCAAGGTGGATGATAATGGTCTCTGCAGGATACATATCACTGCAATAATGTGGACTGGCTTACCCACATCCAGTAAGATGAGAACTTGTGTCTTTTCCTCCCTGCTATTGGTTGTGGTGAGCTTGGTCAGATGTAATCTTTGTGGAATTTCATTAATGTTGCAGTCTTTGCATGGCAAGGTGGAGTTCCTTCCTAGGCATTTGTCACTAAAGATACATTATGTGCTTTGGGGGCATGTGCCATTTTAATAACCTTACTTAATTCTAAGAATAAAATGCAAATGTTTCTATTACCTAAGTTATGACCTCTCTCATTATTACTTTGTTATTGTTTTTAAAATATTCAAAACAAATATTAATGCAACAACACTTTGGATGTCCTTTCCTGTACAGTTTTCACTGCTGGTATCGGTAGATGTTACTTATAGGCTTAATAGTACTGCAGGTGTAGGTAGACATGTGGAGGCACTGACAACACAATCAGTATGCCTAGGGCACATCCAGACAATTAGATTGCTCCAGTTATAGCTGCATGCTCCAGTGTAGTTTTTGTTCAACAGGCCTTAGGCAAGTCCCAGTTAAATGTTGTAACTAAGTTTTTTGAGAGTTGAAGAGTTGGAAAGCCTTACAATGTTTTCACCTCTCTTTTCCCGTACCTTCTTATTTCATTCACTTTTCTCACCTGCTTATTGCTGAAGTGATGGAAAGAACACTTTTCATTTCAAAAAGCTAAACTGTGATTATCTGTCTGCAAACAGTTTTTCAAGGTTCATTTGGAATTCAGCCAAAATTTTCCATTTGGTTTAGAGTTTTGGCTTTGTGGCTTCATCATTAATTTGTATTTTTTTATTTTTTTATTTTTTTTTAGCTGTCTTTAACAACTCAAGCTTGTCTTTGTCTAGGTTGGTGACAGGATATCTGAACCTGTGCCAGGGATGTCCTTGTCTTTGCTATGATTCAGAGATTGATGCCCCAGACATGTACACGTTGTGTCTAGTCCTAGTCTTCATTCAAGATATGAATTTAGCTACAAGCTGTTTTGCAAGGGAAATTGTGTCTGACTTGTATAAAGTCACTCAGTTGTGTTTTTATGGTGCCTGGCTGCGCATTGTACAGGTTTACTGATCCAACAAATAAGTTCCGGTCAATTAAATGCAAAGTTCATCCACTCAATATGGCTTGGCACACCCCCTGGGATTGGAATGGCCAGTCCCTGATGGAATGAGTCAAGCCCACTAGACACCCCACTTGTGGATTTCCTCTCCAGCCTGCTCAGCCCATTAGTTTGTGTACAAATGTACTACAGCTGTTGCTGCTATTTCCTGAATTAATTATCTTGCTGGAGAAATTAACAAAGAAAATAGGGCAAGAACTTTTACCAAATACATTTCAGCCTGCAAACTTGTTTTTGTCTTCAAACTGAATTCAGAAAGTGCAGTAAGTGGCTGTGATTCATTTCAGTGAAACTATAGTGGACTTAAATGAGAAACTGAGAAATAAATTGACAAGATGACAAATTCTTTACCAAGGAAACTCATGGAGGGGTCTCTATTAAGTCAGAGGGTCCCTACTGCTATTCCCTGACGTTTATAAACTGCTCTATTTCATCTTAAGTGTGGTAAAAGTAAAGGTAAAGGGGACGAACCTGTGTTAACAGGAACGGAGTGCCCATCTCTATTTGGTTAGCGATTGGGCCAGACTCATAAGTGGGGTCAGGGAACCAGACTACAGGATCATGATTGTTTGTCTTGGTTTTTCCAGTAGAGGCCAAGTCTATGATCACAAAACTTCAAACAAGTCAGTGTAACAATATTTGCTATAAACCCCCAAACCCATTCGTTTCTGAAAATTGCAGCAAAAGCAAATGTTGTATATTCCCTTTAAACACAATAATCAAGCCGCGAAATAAATGTGACAGATAACACTAACAGTTTTCGTTAAATTAAGCTGGATTTTTAAAACAAAAGAAAACATTTTTTTTTACATTAGAAATGATACAGTAAACTAAAATAAAATATTTTATAAAATGTATGACGTACACCGGTTGATTTCAACACACAAAAATTACACAGGCAGTGACGGCAGAACAATTTTGAAAGTGGGGTGGGGGGGGGGGGGAAGCATCGCTGGTGCCGGCCGGTGTATAGCGTGAATATCCAACTCCATGAAATATGGACTTGTTGGTAGTAATGCATGCGTGAGTATGATAATATGCTATTTATATAGGATAATAGGAGAGTGACCTGTCAACTGCGAGGGATTAACCAATAGAGAATAGAAGTCCGATTTCACAGGAGTTGGATTTTCATCCGTTGCAAATTTAAAGGGGCCACCCTTTCCTGTGTTTTTCTTTATGGTGAATGTTACACAACCGCCCTTCCTGATGATCGAAAGCAATAGAGGGCCTTGAGTATACACTATTTGGGACCTGACTAGAATTTGCGGGGGGGGGGGGGGGGGGGGGCCTCAGTTAAAAAGTTGGGGGCCAATGGTCCCCCCCCCCAATGCCACCATTGAACACAGGTATAGGCATGAGTGGTGACTAAATTCAGGCCTGATGATTCCTTTTGTCCTATTGATGCAGTTACCTGCCCACCTCTGCCAGCACCTACGAGTGAATTGGTCTACACCTGCACCCTGGATGGCCAGAACGTGAACACCGCTGACTCCCAGCCCTTGGGCACCATCTGTGAGCAGGAATGTGAGGAAGGCTTTGCCTTGCTGGGCTCAACTCAACGCAGCTGTATGGAAGACGGCACTTGGGATGGCACAGAGGGCGTTTGTGAAGGTCAGTCACCCCTTTGTTCCTTTCTTGTTAACAAAACCTTTGATGTTTTGTTCAAATTAAAAAATGGACCCATGGGGACTTCTAGTACCAGCACTCTTTTCTTTGTACTTCCTCTAAAAAAAAAGAGGGCAGTAATCGGACACGGTTGTCTAAATCCTGTTTACCTACTTTTATAAGTACAATAGGTAACATGAAAAAGAATTGACCAATCAATCACCAAATGCCACAAAATCCCACCAACTCATTAGTCTGAGTATCACCCGTTCTCATGGAGCCCTATTTCTCTGGTCGAAGTCTGACATCTCCTGACATGCAAATTTATGCAAGCTGTGCGCCAGCCAATCGGAGTCGCCTTTACTAAATCGTGAGGTCATTTCATTCCCAAATCAGGACTAATGCTGTGAATGGTCAATTCGAATGCAGTGTTTGTAATACATCAACAGCCGGGAGTGCATTTGCGTAACATGATACCGAGCGCTGCACGCTGTGGCAATTTTTTTTCCATGTCTATGATGCGCAACAGGTGAATGACCGAAGACCCGATAGGCCTATAGAAAGCGCCCACTGTATGGTCAAAATCTAGGCCTATAGAAAGCGTCCACTGTATGGTCAAAATCTAGGCCTACAGAAAGCGTCCACTGTATGGTCAAAATCTAGGAAGTCAAGAGGCGGGGTCTTGCCTAATTAATCAGCAAATCTGTTCGCACGTATAGACTACCAACTCATCTGGCCGAGAAAACCACATTGTAGCCGCGTCCTTCGCAATTCAGCATACCAGCTGCGAGTAGGGATGATTAGCCTCCCAAATTATTATTAGGTGTTTGGCTTTAGCCCAAAACCTATTGTTATTCTATGAATTCAATATTCTTGTTTTTGTTTTATTTATTCTTCAAGACAAATTCTTTTCCAGAACTGCTTGTCAAAATGAAAATATATATGAACTTCAATTGGCAATACATGAATGCACAACCCACTGAAGATGTAGTTTTTTGCAACTACGTCATTATGACGTCATTGTGGGTTACGTGAAGTCACTCCAAAAAATAATAAATTTAATCTTTGAAATTCAATATAAAATCAACCGTGAGAGACCGGAACTTGAATTTTGCGGCAATCAACATGATAATACATGCTCTTCATGTTATGTTGTGCGCGTCAAATCACGTGACCCTTCCTTCTGGTCAAAACTGGATCGAAGTGCCTAATAATTTGAAAGTGGAAACAGATATGAACTTGCTTTCAACTGTGTTAGTGTCTGCCTGGATTGACCTTACAAAAAAATGATGGGTGACGCCATGAAGTGTTAGAGCACCCTCTAGCAGCAGGATAAAAAATGTCAAAAACGCATTTTCACTTGATGTCTGTGGCGAAGTTTGCGGTAATCGCTTCAAAATTAATGTACATCATGACCATAATGCAGACAAGACCTGTGCGCGAAAAAAAAATGATTACGTCATCAAACCGAAAGTTACAATAAAAAGACCTTTAAACCTTAAAAAATTGCTAAAAAATATACCGTGATAGATATAATCAAGATTTGGCTATATATAGCACAGTTACCATAGCTCTTGAACTTTCTGGTAATGACGTTACAATGACGTCCTCAAGTATCATATTATTAGCAATCAGAGATGTCTACATTTAATCTTTGAAAATCAATGTAAAATCAACTGCTACAGATTTGATTTTGGTTTTAATGGCAATCGATACAATATTGCAGGGTCGTAATTTTCGGTATAAGTGCAAAATCATGTGACCCTTCCTTCCGGTCGAAACCGGAAGTGCTTTATTAATTGAAATTGGCAGAAGATGCAAACTTGCTTTCAATGATATGAGTGTCTGCCTATAGGCAGTACTGTACACAAATATTACAGGTGATGTCATCAAATGTTAGAGCGCCCTCTGGCGGCATGTTGAAAAAGTCAAACATGGATTTAAACATGCATTTTGAGTTAATGTGTGTGGCAAAGTTTGTGGTAATCCATGGCCCAACACCGTGTGGTTGTTCCTACAACCTCTAGTTATTATTATTATCTCCAATAAACCAGTTTGTAAAACTAGGCAAAAATGAGGGAACTCGTTTGTCAACTGTCTATATCTTTCGAGCTAAATGGACTATTCACCTTATGAACATGTTTGTAGATTGTTGATGGCAACATGGATTTGTCTTCCATCATATTTGCAGTTGACCCTTGTATCAGCCACATCTGCAGGAAGCCCAGATACGGCATCTGCATCACTGAGGAAATTGACGGCAAGCTCGAAGCCAACTGCGATTGCCCCGAGTCCTGCCCGGATACTGCTGTCAAACCGGTCTGCAGTGTCTACGGAAAGCAGTATGACAGCCTTTGTCACCTTCGACTGTATGCTTGCAAGAGACAGCGTTCATATCCACTGGCTTACAAAAAACCATGCGTCGGTAAGTTTAGGCAACCAGACTATGAAAGGTGTCATTTGTTATTATTTGTCACTTCTTACATCTATATATATCTCGGCCCCCACAAATGTGTCAGATAAACTTTCAACTCATTTTCCCAAAGATGACACTTCCTAACAATCTGTCAGTCTAGTCTACTTCACTCAACTTTCCTGTAGAGCAATCTACTTTTGCATATTTCCCTAGACCGGCAGGTATTTACACTCAGAGTTTACACAATAGTGCCCTCTGGTGTCCTACCCAAAATGCCATGCGCTCTTTCTCTTTTCTCTTAGAGACAGGTAGGACGAGTTTATAACACACTCATATTATTTCTCATTTTTCGACTGGCTGTAATCGCTGCTCGTTATCGCAAATTAAGAGAAGTTTTTGATTTTGAGTTTGTAGTTGAGTTATAGTGTAGTTATACTCTGCTGGTAACGCTGTGCCGTTTACGCGTCAGCGGTCTCCTGTTAAGCACCCGCAGAACCAGCCAGCTACGGGTATTGGCAGTTCCATTGGCAAGTAGGGGACCATCGGTCGCCTTCTCGGGTCAGCTTAAGTGGAACAACCTAAAGAAAGGTGCGGTCCGGCAAGGTTCCCCCAAAACTTATCTCCTGTGCCGGGGCCAAACCTAAGATGGGTTGGAAGGGTAAACGTGGCTTGAGCTTGGGCTTTACTACACCTGCCGTCACATGTTGCGTTAATCCATTTTGTACAATACATGGGCGTACATGTACACATCGGCATATGTCTTGTAAGTTGGATTCAGACTTTCACCAAATGACTCAATTAAGTCTCGACTTGAGTGACTCGAGACTCGGACTGGAACTCAAATCAAGTGACTTGACTACAACACTGCCAACTTCATATATAATACTTAGTTTCCGTCCAAAAGAGTCATGAAAAGGTCTGTTAAATGATTGGCCAAACCATGCCAATGGATAACAGGAGTTGGCAAGTGAGCCATATACATGTACATGAGTTGGGATGACTTAAAGTGGGTCAAGGCCAGGAAATGATCTCTAGTAAGTTGTATCGATATTGGTATGGGCTGAAAGTCTTCAACATGAGAATTGCATGTGTGTGCTCCTCTGAAAGGAGGTCTTTAACTTCCCCCAATGGTTGTCTGTTATCTGACAGAGAAAAAGTATCTAAAAACTGGACAACAGAATAATCCTGGGGCTTAATTCCTGTTCTTTGCAGCGTCTCAGTTGCCATGTGACAAGGAGGAGTTAAAGGAGTTCCCCCATCGGCTTCTGGAATGGTTCCTGCACCTGAGGGAGATGGATGAGTTGAAACAGCTGGATCCCAACAGCAACATTCGCAAACTGGACAACGCTGGCAGGGAGAAAGTAGCTAAGGTAGAAACAAATCAGCCATTGTTTTTTTCTCAAGAAGGGTCAGTGGGAGACAATTGTTAAGGGAGAGACCGCATACTGTACCAACCCATTTAAATCACTGATGTATGGACTCCCTGCACAAACAAAACTGGGCACTGTCTAACCCAAGGAACAACTGGGCACTGTCTAACGCAAGGAAACACTGGGCACTGTCTAACCCAAGGAACAACTGGGCACTGTCTAACCCAAGGAACAACTGGGCACTGTCTAACCAAAGGAAACACTGGGCACTGTCTAACCCAAGGAACAACTGGGCACTGTCTAACCCAAGGAACAACTGGGCACTGTCTAACCCAAGGAACAACTGGGCACTGTCTAACCCAAGGAAACACTGGGTACTGTCTTACCCAAGGAAAAAACTGGGCACTGGCTAATTATCCAACGAAAGGCATTTATAAAAGACACTTTTTTGGTTGACGCACATGTACATTTTCCTTTTGTGAAATTTGTTTATACAAGTGTGCACAAGGCAACCTTATGGTGTATCCGTATTGGCGTGCATCCTCATTGTCACTGCTAAGTAGAATGTTGCGTGAGAAGCCGTGCACCTTACTGTAATGTTTGACAGTCAAATTATATAAGCTGATTCACTGGTGGCAGAACATTTCTGAGAATGGGGTGGGACACAGAACTATATGTACTTTCAGTGTAGTGGGCCTCCTCGTGACTTGAATTTTGCATTTGTTGCCCCCCCCCCCCCCCCCCCCCCCCAGTGGAAGTTTGATGAGCTGGACAGGAAGCATGATGGGCTGCTTGACAGGCGAGATCTCCGCGAGTTCCGCTATGCACTGATGCCCCTTGAGCACTGTGCTGACGACTTCTTCCAGGAGTGCTATGCAGGGGCACGCACCATTGACCTGGCACGCTGGAATGAGTGCCTGAAGGTGCATGATATGGAGGAAGGGCCACGGAGAATGGCAGAGTTCTTCCTGAATGTTGTCCCTAAAGAGAGTCCTGCTGAAGGTAAGGCTATGTCCATATGGCTTGGGTATGGCTTGTAATTACATATGGACCAATGGAAGTGGCTTAAGCACTTCCCATACACACGTGTCATGCTGCTGACTACAGCCAAGTTATTCAGCTATGCATCAACTGATGGGGAAAAAAGTTCTGTTTCTGGTCCTATGTTAGCTTGAAAGTTCTGTGATGCTTTTCAAAATGTTGGGACCACATATCAGAAATTAATACTTATTTGACTAGCATTGATGGCTAATACTTTGCCATATGCAAAATATTTAACAGGTTTGAGTTGGAGGAGCCCTTCAAATCAGGCAAATATTCATATTCCTATCTGAATCAATTTTTAAGCAAAAGGTGGAAGAAATCCATTCAATCTTGCAATCTGACTTTATATTAAAAAAAAAAGGAAATTGAAAATGGCAACATAAAGACATGGTCTTAGGGAATTTTCTTTGCCTTCAGCAACTTGGGTGTTGTTATATTGGGGTTCTTTTACACTGATAAACTACGGAATGGACTCACTCACCCAATGTGTTGCGTGAGACATATGTCATGTGGGGGGCCGACATCTTGGGGAAAAAACATTATGGAATACAGCTCAATCATTACAACTCATTCATTATAGCTCAATCATTACAAATCATTCGTTATAGCTCAATCATTACAACTCATTCATTATAGCTCAATCATTACAAATCATTCGTTATAGCTCAATCATTATAACTCATTCATTATAGCTCAATCATTACAACAGGCATGAATCATGGGGTGGGGGTATGAGGATATATCCACCACTTTTTTACAGGGGATGGGCCATAAGATTATTCCCCCAACAGATTGATGGTCACTTCTTTTTTTCTTCAAAAATCAATATCAAATGTCCAGGAAGTTTCAGGATTTCTTCCATTGTCATCCAACCAGTCATCATCACAATCAAAAGCTACCCTACTGGTAGAGGATTGCTCATGCATTCTAGTCAACAAAGCTCAATTCAAGTGTTATAAAGTCCACCATGCATTCAGTCCACTCGGGGGCAAAAAAATCATTGCTCCTAAGATTTACTAATGCTTTTATTTATACATGTACTAAATATTAATGCCTCTTTTCTTCTGATACTTTCTTGTTGTGAGTGATTTCGTGATTAGTTATTGATACATTTATTCATTAATTTGTATCATTTCAGAAGCTGATGAGAATGAAGAGGCATGAGAGCAGCATATTGCTATTTGTCTTCATCTTCAACGCTTTGCCTGCAAGCCCAGAGAACATTTTTATTGACTGTCTTGTATTTTTATAGCCAGGACTAGAATTAGCCAATCCCTTTTCAATATTTATGCTTTTGTGCTTTTGGCAATTCAGAACAAGAAAACTTTCAGAGTTGGTTCTTTGGTTTAATTCTTAGACGACTGGTTTTTTTTGGGTGTTTCCAAGCCGACTACTCATCCATACAATTTGCCCTCTTTTTAAAAGAGAATGAAAACTTCAACATGTGTTTGGGTTATTTAATGTCAGGTTTTTGGATAATTGTTCGAGTTTTATCTTGGAGTTACCAATCATACCATTGACCTCAGAGGCAAGATGTTTTAAAACCAATATTTTCTGATAGATAATGTAATTTTTATTAATGTTATCATTTTTGAAGACTAGCCATTTTTAATGAGTGTCATACTTTGTGTTTTAGATTCAAGAAACATGTATACTTTGTATCTACTTCATAAATATAGCGAGGTTTAGAGAATGAAGATTTGAATAGATGAATTGATCAAGTCAGGATTTCATTGAAATTTAGTTGACATGGTCAACCGTCAAAGCTACTTAGGTCAGTGAATCACAAGCATCAAGTACACCATAGTGCCGTAAGGGCTTCAGAGATTGCCCCTCGTAATATTAGGAGGTGATTTTTAAAGGGTTCTTACAAATTCAAGGTGATCCTACAATAATGCCACTGCCCAAACCTTTAACAAATGCTGCTGCAATTTATACAGAATATATTATGGGATATCAAAATAGATCATTAAAACATGTTACATTTTGTATTCCAATTTTTTTAGGTGATATATGATTCAATGGTGCTATTATTAGTTGGAGAATAACTGTTCTCGACTCCATGAGCCGGTGTCAACTCTCTAGAAGTAGCTTTTTTAACATGGACCTTGTATGAAATGTAGACAAAGCACGTGTGACCTTTTATTTGACTGAACAACTTGAACGTCAGTAAGGCGGCACTGTTTAGTTCATTATTCTTTTAACCTGATGCATAATAAACTGGATTAGAATGTTGATTGATGAGAATTTTCTTTCTTTCTTGTACTGTTCATGTTCTAGAAAGGGACTGGAGTAACTACCGACATCCACAATATAATAATACAGCAAGGTTTTGCTTGGTATAAAGTTCAAGTTAACAAATCTATGGGTTTTTTTTTGGGGGGGGGGGATTTTGGATCGAATGTGTAGTTTTGCGCCAAATTTGATAAAAATCATTTAAAAAGATAATTAAATATTTGGAGGTTGACAATATGGCCGACTAGGATTTTCAGTCTCCGTTTTTATATACGACGGTCCGCGCTGTACATGTATGGCCGACCGGTGATGAGCATGCATGTTGCTGAAAGGGAAGCGAAAGGCAAAATTGGGGACTGGCCTGGGGTGTTGTGGCAACAAGTTTACTTACACTCATTCAACTAGGCCTACCAATGTGTGTGTATTGGTGCAAACGTTAAGATAATGCTCCTAAAAAAAGTGAACCTGTTTTTTTTTTTTAATATCACTATGGGCCTATAGCTTTAAAATATTTGAACAAAAATACACACTCTCCTTGGTCGAAAAAAAGAGACTTTTTTGAAATTTGTATAGAGCGATACAGGCTTCGTTCTGTTTGTTTTTCTTCACTTTTTAATGAGATATCCCCCCAAAAAATACCGACATGTAACGTTACTTTTGCGGCCCGACAATTAAGTTCTCGCGCACATATTAGCAGCGGCGTAGCCAGGGTTCTTATCCTAGGGGGGCTTGTGTGTGTGTGTGGGGGGGGGGGGGGGGGGGGCTTGAGGTTACATGGAGGGGTGCCTAAAAATTTCATCCGTGCTGAAAGCTACACAGGGTTTTTTCACCGGACACCTGCCCTCCGTAAAATCAAAGGGGGGGGGGGGGGCACCATCTTTCAATGGGGGCGCTGTTTACACAATGTATATGATTAGACAATAACCGCTACCGCTATTCGCAAACGGAAACGCAACTCATCATCTTTTCGGACATTAGCATGGGAATTCAACTCATCATTTCATGACAACTTGAGGTCTCTCCTGAAGACGGTCAGAGCATACTGACCGGAACGTCGAGTTTATACCTCTGGTTCTTTTCAGAACCATTCTCTTAGTTGAGAAATTATTCGCACATGGTGTTTCCGCAAACCTTTTATTATTTAGTATCTCCACCATGCAAAGCCTCAAATCTTACTCATGACAACTTGGTCGATGTCGCAGTGCTTGATTTTACTAATAGACTAAGAGCTGGATCGTGTTTAATCAAATTTCGGGAACAAATCCCCTGATTGTCTTATTGTCGCTAGATCAGACTAAGGCCAGTGGCGCCATGCCAAATTAGGCCAATTTTACATTTAATCAACATTTGCAACAAGAACGAAACCAGTATCACGTGATAGCTTGGAACTTGTAGATTTTCGAAATATAATTTTAAAAGTGATTTTGGATCAGACTTATTAACTTAAGAACGGCCCGAAAAGCGCGGGTTGGGCGTGGCCAACACCCCCTCCTTTTCCTTTTCGCTGATACCGTTGCAACGCAACGGTAGAGGAGAAAATGAGGAGAAAACCAGTTTGTATTGATGCCTTAACACTCATGGAATATAACAATTTAACTTAAGAGCGGTTTTGGTTTAGACTAACTTTGCCTTAAGAGCGTCAGGAAAAGCGCGGAGGGGGCGGGGCCTCAACCCTCACCGTGTACATTTTGGCTACTATAGTCGCAATTGGGTGGCACGCTTGCAATAACATTTTGGGCACGCTTGCCCTCCAAAACTTGGCACGCTTGCCACCCACGTTCGGGCACATTCGCCCTTAAACCAATTGGTAGAATGAGTGAAAATGTATTAAGTATTTATAGTTCCAATTTGAATATAACCTTAATCTATATTTCCACCGTTTGTACGAACGGTTGGAGTAATGCAGAAGTAACCCCCCTTCATTAATTTTGCATAGGAATGATTAGTCTCAAAGTATTTAATTTGAATATACCTTAACAAGCAATGTTCCCACCGTTAGGACGTACAGTTGGAGACAGTGGCGTAGCCAGGAATTTTTCAGGGGGGGGGGGGGGGGGGGCGCTGGGGGGGGGGGGGCTGGAACATTTCATGGGGGGCGTCATGTAGATCAATGATAATTTTTTTAGGAACTCAGTGGGGGGGGGGGGGGCGACTGGGGGCGACAAGGTTTCATGCGGGGGGGGGGCTCGCCCCCCCCCCCCCCCCCCCCCCACACACACACACACCCCGTGGCTACGCCACTGGTTGGAGAGCATAAATGCAACTACTAAACATCAACTAAACCGACAGCAACATTAAAGAGTAGAACTAGCGATAGCAAAACACATTACTTCCATGTACATTTCATTCCATGGAGCATTAATTAGCCCTCAATGCATGCCCTAAGATTGTGACGGAATTCGCTGCCTGAAACAAAATTCGTCACACCGAATTAGGTCATTTAATTGTCCCAACATGTACAATAAGCAATTCAGGGGGTGGCCACATAGCCGCCATCTCATCCAATAATTTGGGAACATCGCCTTACCCGGCACCCCCAATCCCGTTCCAGCGGAATGGCCTGCAACCCAAGCGGCAAGCTGCCTGGCGCACAATCGAATCACCAATGATCCAGACATCACCTGTGAACACATCATGTTTTGTTTCAGGTTGGATCCAAACCATATATATTTAAGCAAAGAGATAACCAAGACACATTTATCTACTTACCGAACGGCAGGCAGCCATGTCGCTCGTCAACGCCCCCTGCGGTAAAAAAGAAAAGAAAAAAAGAAACGCAACATTTGTAAGTGTGCATGGGTACATTATGCACTAGCCTGAATTGTAGTGCAACATTTAAGCCCAGAGTTGATTGGAAATCATCTTTTGTTTCAGGTTGGATCCAAACCATATATATTTAAGCATGGAGATACCCAAGACAAATGTATCAACTTACCGAACGGCAGGCAGCCATGTCGCTCGTCAACGCCCCCTGCGGTAAAAAAAAAAAAGAAACGAAACATTTGTAAGTGTGCATGAGTACATTATGCACTAGCCTGAATTGTAGGGCAACATTTAAGCCCAGAGTTGATTGGAAATCATCTTTTGTCTTGGGTATCTCCTTACTTGATAAAGTCTAAAGAGTTGTTGTTACCAGGCCGAGTCCTGAAGGGCCTAGAGGGCCAAGAGTAAATGTGCAGAGCCCTGGTGGGCTGTGAGAGCTTTTGCTGATATACAGGACGAGTCAAAAAAAGAAACCCAAACGTCGGGACTATTATTTTTATGAAGTTTTGGAGGTAGCACCTTCAAAATCTAGGATATGAAAGCCAAATTCATAAGCTTTCTTTAAGTGCAAGAATCATTCAAATCACTCCTGCACTTTTAAGTTACGGAATTTTAAACACAACCACCGTTTTAAAGTTCTGTCCGCGGATCACAAAAAAGGTGTGCGTTCAGCAAAACGAAAACAATTCACACACATCCCTTTACTTTTGAATATACTACTACAAGACCTGTACCCAGGCTGTATAACCTAATTAACCTTATCTTTGAATCAAGTTGTGTAAACTCGGTGTTCGTGTCCCACCATTATCCCATGCTGCATAATAAATACATTAGAAACAAACAACTTGTTTCCCTTTGTTTCATTATGGCGGTCCAACCACACTTAACCTCTTTTTCATGCAACTATGAGCGAAGCGAGATAGCATGAAATGACACCATCCCGTAGGCATTAGGCGCAAGCTCTCAGGTGACACACTACCGAACTGCATCAGTACAGTGTGTGGAATATAAGCAGAAGTCAACATTTAAGTGTGATGTAAACCTGCAGATATGTTTTAAGAATATAGCAATTAAATATTCACATAAATTCAAACGACTGGGTTTATTTTGAGGATGAGGGGAAACATTTCATCTTAAAAAGGAAGAAGTAACCCCTAGCAAAAAGTTAAAAGTAGAAGAAGTAGAAAAAAGTCTTGAGGATATTTTGAAAGCGGAGGGAAGGGTATAACCTACATCAAAATATTTCTAATTTCATTATAAGATATTAAGGAACAAAAATCGAATTATTTTATAACGATTATGTTTTGCTAATAAGATTTTTTAAAAGCCTTTTCATTCGATAACCATGCGACTTTTTAAAAGAGCATTGCCTTCATGGAATAATTACAGCTATCAGCAAAGATCCATCAAGTTCAGCCCGATTCTCCATCAAAACAGGATTGTCCTTTTTTTATTTTCATCGCCGCATCAATATCCCGTACAAACTCTGACACAGCATAAATACACAATCTCTGCACACATTTCTCACCGGGGGTCTTTATTTAGTAAAACATAGAGATGTTATAGCAATGTAGGCCTCAAAATACGTTTGAGATGAATTCAATGTCTGTGTATTATTTCTATAGTAAAATTTTAATAGTATTATTTCTCTTTTATTTCATTCAATATCGGAATGCATTCGTTTCGGCTCCTTCAAAAAAAAAATGAGGGCGCTGTTTCATGAATCCTGATCAGTGATGGTCATCAAAGGCAGACTTGAACCTGACATTATCAACACTTGTGGATTGCATGCCTGCACCCGCGCCCGAAACCACGCCCTCAATCTGGCCGCATACGGGAGTTTTCCTTCACAATTATTTCTCCTAAAAACATAATAATTAATGACTTTTTTTGTCATTTCGCTGGTAGTCGTCAAAAACGTATAAAATTGTCATTGCTTGTGACGTATCCTCGCTGGTTCCCACAGTACTGAATTATTGTACGAATCTCCATATATACACATGTACGTGTGTGTGGTTGGTTGATGACCGAATGCCATCGATACTTTGATTATTTCCGGCCAAGTGACAGTATTTATCACGGGGTGAATCATATGATTGACATTTTATGAAATGCAACAAGATGGCGTTCCCCGGCAAGGGAGAACACTTTTCCTGACAATGGTTCGGATGTGACTTCGAAAACGTGAGTATCATTCAGTTTTTATTGGGGGGTTTTGTGCTTGGCTCGATTCCTCCTACCTCCATAGACCATGGAGGAAGCCTTCCTCCATGGCAGCATAGACAAACATGATTGATAGACCATGCTACGGTAGTCCGAGTAAACTTGGACCAAACTAATCGCCTTTTTAACATTCGGACATGGTCTGGCGATAGTAGAACCAAGGGTCCAAGCTAATCCTTATATGCCGAGCAACACAATTCTGTCATTGACCCAAAAATCCAACATTACCCAACAAAAACATTAGATTTCACCCTCAAAACGGCCTCCAAACAACAAGCGCTCCAAACATGCCAAATTACTAGATATGCCACCTGACAATGCCTGTACAAGTAGTACAGTAGACATCGATAATTAAGATGGTTGTAGGCCTACTGAAGTTTTGGTATTCCTTAGCTTGAGTAACTCCAGCTGACATGCTCCATATTCATTCACATGTATCGCCAGACCATGTCCAAATGTTAAAAAAGGCGATAAGTTGGGTCCAAGTTACTCGGACTAGTTTTAGACCCCTCTATTTTTTACGAGTTCTGTGCAAAACTGTCTTTTGCAGATGACTGTCCAGTACCAAAATGACTTTTTTTTTAGGCTAATGCAGTCTTTTCTCTTCATATAAATTCATGTTGTTACTGTTAGTTGTAATTTTGAAAGCACTTTCAAAGAAAATGTGACTTTCCTACTTTTTTTGCGGTAATCCTTACTTGTAGGACACCTCTATTTTTTACAAGTTCTGTTCAAAACTGACTGTTGCAGATGTCTGTCCAGTACCAAAGTGACTTTTGCAGGCTAAAGCAGTCTTTTTTCTTCATATAAACTCATGTTAGTTGTAATTTGGAAAGCACTTTCAAAGAAAATGTAACTTTCCTACCTTTTTTCGCAGTCAGACGTGCATGTTGTAGTTCTCACAACACAGTGAAAGCCCTACATGATGAAAGCCCGATGCTGATTGACTGCTAGATGTTTAATAAGATGTTTTTTTTTTATCAGCCAATCAGCATCGAGCTTTCATCGCATCGAGCTTTCACGTTTGCCATCTTGGTTTTTGAGTCTGTGTTCTGGTTGTCATCGTCGTCTTTTACCCCTGAATTTCCCTCATAAATCAGAGCCCTGCCCTCTTTCCACAAAATTAAACCTGCTGATATTCAAGAAGGTGTCACTGCCCATTGTTCAGATGTGCCAAGAAGCACAATGTAGTCAACTGTTTTGGTGAGTCTTTCCCTTCCTATAGGAACGGGGTCCTAAAAGTAAGGATTCCTTTTTTTGCAGTCGGACGTGCATGTTGTAGTTCTCACAACACGAGCAAAAGCACTACATAATGAAAGCCCGATGCTGATTGGCTGCTGAAAAAAAAAATGAGATGTTTATTTTTTTTATCAGTCAATCAGCATCGAACTTTCATTGCATCGAGCTCTTTCTTGTATTTCGCTTTAATAAGACACATAGAACATGTTTAACACGAATATTTTGATTTCCGCATCTTTTTTTTTTTTCTCAACTCCAAAAGCTAACTCTTTCTTGTGTTTCGCTTTAATAAAATACATAGAACATGTTAAAACATGAATATTTGTACTTACTATTAGGATAACTAATTAAAAGCTGGCGGTCACTTTGAACCGAATTTGGCGGTCATTTTGAATTTAAATACTTGGCAGCCATCTTGGGAAAAAAGGTCCTCATCCTCCTCTTTTGAAAAAAACCTGGACGATCAACTGTTTTTTTTTTTACTTGGCCTTATATTTGTTCTAAACAAATCATTTTTTTGGGCCAGTTTGTAGCCCAATTTTGCATGTTAAATACAATCGTTGGCAAAGCATTATCACAACCTGAAGATAGTACATATGCATACCATTTGTATACTGTACATGTACATGTACATGTAAGTAGTAACTGATTTAGAAAGTACGGTGAAAATTGCCAGTACAAAAATAGTTACTACCGGTAGTTACATGTACATGTACATACATGTAGTACACACAACATGTAATTTGAAATTAATATGATACAGCTAAAAAATGTACCATACTTAAAAATAAACTTATTCCTAAAATGTAGCATGTTTTCACAACCAGGAAGACACCCCTTAAAAATCACACTGACCTTGCTGTGTGGGTGGAGAGTATTATTTGTCTGTGAAACGGGATGCTGCAAAAGAAAAGTGAAATCTGTGTGCTGAGTGCATGTATACATTGTATTGAAAATGTGTATGAAATAAGCATTTGACTGAAACAGAAAGAATCTCACCTTTCACTTTCTCTTTTGTCTCAAAATAACATAGGAATCATGCATAACAATAGTAACATGTACATGAAGAATGTTCTTCTGTTTAGTACTTTCCTCAATAGAGTGTGCAAATCTCACCCCACATTCACTGTTTATGTGAACGTCTTCTACATGTAGTCACAGACTCCTGTTTTTGAATTTCCCCAATTGTAATATCTGTGTGATTGATTGAAAGGAAGTTGAGGTCAATAGTTTATGTTTTGATAGTAATCAATGTATCACAATATGTTGTAAATTGTAATGTTTGCTTTTCTCTTCCAGTCAGGACACAAAATAAATGAACAAAATAGGATGTTACACATGTTGTAGATCCTATACATCTATTACATGGTGCCTGGACGTGGTGTATTCTCATAAAATCTGGCAGGTTTTTGACATCAACTTTATACACGCTCTATTACTTGGTACATGGTACCTATATATTTTTGTATGTGTACATTCAGTAGGCAAACTTAGCAATTAGGTCTACCGGTACATTTCTGTTGCTATTAGTTTCACACAACTGTGCATGTACATGTGTGTTCATGTACACATGTGCTGGTAGTCAGTGTTAACGGAAGAACCATGTTATGGTGCTTGATTTCCACAGGTTTTTGGTGTAAACAAGTTACTGTATGTGCATGTTATTCCAGAACTGTACAATTTTTCTTCTTGCGATAATAAAATGTAGTTCATAATTTCAGAATGGAAAAAAACAATATTGTACTATTATTCATGTACCGTTGTGCACAAATGTGGGTTGGTCTATAGTTGGTGTCTGGCCTGCATTTGCACGGACATGTATGTATGTAGCATATACATGTAGTGACCATTTACCGTCAGTGACCATTTCTTAAGAAAGGTATTAATGTAGGGCCCCCCATTTTTGTTTTTAAAGTAATTCAGACATTCATGACTCATTTAAACCTATTGGTTTGTGTACATTTATCACAGGACATTTGAAAAGCTAATGGCCGTCCATGCCATAGCAATTGTTCTTAAGTCACCTGACCAAAGAGTCAATATTTAATTGGTCAATGCACACTGTTTAATTGACAGGCTGGAAGGGTATCAGAACAGTGCAGTAGAGCATTTATTCTCTGCAGGTGGGTGTAACTCAGACAAGTTGGGCAGGTCAGGCACTGGCATTTCTGTACTGTATTCACATCAGCCGTGTGGAAGTGAAGCCAGTTCTTGTCTATATTATGTTGATATTTGACACAAAACTGTTTGATTTATTGTCAGAGTATACAGAGATTTGCTTCTTGATTGCGAGTTGCCCTTCAGCTTAGAACATCACACATTTAGAGTACAACAGTACATACATGTACATGTACAGTACATTTGGATCAGGTCAGGAATGGCCATCTAATCACGGATCCTACCCGTGATTGTATAGATATCAGGAAGTAATTGGTCTAAATGCTTCCTCTTCCTTGTAGATGACTAGTTGTACATGTACACTTGCTCAAAACAAGTTTATTCTATAACTGTTTACATATTGTAAAAGAATGACTTCCATACATAAATCCATTCATAGATCGTGAGAAAATTGTGTAAATTCTACATAACACTTGGGGGTACCTGCATGTACGTATCTGCTTAGTGCACATATGCATGGAGGTGGTTTCCTACCTCCATGATATTTTGTATACATGCTTGTGTGCTGAGGCTGCTTTATATTTGAAAGGATGTATACATATGTACATGGACATTGTAATTGGCAGAATATAGAATTGTGCAGTGAGTTATCCTCTATGACCTACATGTACATGTATCCATGAGAGCCAGTGAACGACATATCGTGTGTGCATGTAAGCGGTGTTAAGTTTGTAACACTAATCTCCACAAACCCAGGGCATCTTCACATGAGTGGCATACAGTGATACACCTGAACATGATTGCCCTGGGACAGAAAAGGCGTGAAAGTCTGTCAATAACAGTGTTTGCATACTACTGCAGAGGGCATAGTTATGCATGTAGGAACAAAATTGAGTCTCAAGATCCTCTTGGTCTGTTGCCAGATACACTTTGTAAAACATCATCTTCCTTATTCTGTCCGGCACAGGATACCGTAGCATTTTGTACAGAATGCCAATATTGTGGGGCAAGCATCATATACACAGTTTGCAGTGTAGGGTTTCAGCCCAGACGTAATTAGTAGTGTCATCCATTGCAAGCATACTCATTAGGAATATGAATACCTCCAAGATAGAATATTGGTAATACAAGTTGTACATTGTACATAAGACAGAATGCATAGCAGCAATGATGCATAGCCTGATGCTATGCTTGCATGCTCTGTAGCAGCCATGTCTACTCACTCATGACATTGAATGTGACACGCCTGGAATTAACTTGCCCATATATTTGCACATGTATGTATCATTTACATGTGCCTTATGTCCATTTTTGTTCTGTTGCACTGCAGATGAACTGGAACTTGTGATCAACAGAACCGAGGAGGAAACTGTCAAGTACAACTTCATTTGTAAGCAAAAGCACCGTGCCCTTTTTTCTGGAAAATTCATGTACGCATTGACACTGTGGTAACAGTGTTCAACTCAGAAATACACAAAGTGTTCTTGAATTGCAAAAAGGAGAACAAGCAAGAGAAGAGTGTGATGTTCAACAGACGGCTGGGCTGGTAATTTGCTGACATTGATCGCTTGTTAACCCATCAATGCCGGAACAATTAAAAGACTCCTTCCCGTGGAATAAGAACACCTGTAAATGAGCCTGGAAACTACGCACATGTATGCAGCACAATGTAAACGGACAGACATTTCAATTAGAAGCTTGTTAAGACTTGTTAACTGAGTCGGGCAGCTATGTGCTTGATCCACACAAGGGAATTCATGTATGCGTACATCCTGTAGTTTGTACAGCAATTACCGTGAACGGCCTGTCTGTGAGTTGTCGTCAGTTTTTGCAGGGGCTGATGCCAACATAATGTCTGCCTACGTGGATCAGCATTACATTAAATGCCTGCAGAGGACACGTGAGGAAAGAAGTCAACAGGTAAGAAGGATGGGATATGAATGGGAGGGGCTTGCAAAGATTTAGGAGGGGGGAAAGATACATGTACATGTAGATACCAGGGTTATTCAACCAATATTTAGAAACTGAAGCTTCTGAACCCTAACCCCCTTGCAAGAAACTCAAATGAATCTTGCTGCATGGAAACCAATTGCATATTCTTTGGATGTGCAGTGTTCTCCAACTTTGAAAATTAAAGGTTGGTGCTGGGGTGCGGGGACTCCTGCGAGCGCGGAGCGCGAATCCCTTACGGCGTGGGATCCGGGATCCGGGGATTTTAAGGAGAATTCCATTTCATTGGTTTACTATTGCTTTTATAAAGTTTATTATTTTCTCAAAGTTAACAACCGCGGTATGGGGGTGCTATTTATTACAGGACATAATAGTTTTAGCCTGAACTATTTCCATTGCACTACGAAAGCTATACACAAAATGGCCACAAAAAGTGAATAAAACCTACCTTAATTATTGTCAATATATTTACGTTCGATAATTCTTAAAAATATAATGGAAAATTCAGGTCGTTCGTATCATATGCACAACGCTAGTCAAGACGGGAGGCTGGCCAAAACTCCGAAGTGTGTGATGCACTGTGCATGTGTGGCCCGCGGCCAACAGACCCCGTTTAACGGTTGAAAATTTCGGGAAACACGCTGCATTGTTTCACTCCAATTACGAGTAGTGCGATCTCAAAATGAACTTTTGAACACGGAAAATACATACACAGACAACCTAGATCAATTCTGTGAATTAACTTGCAAAAATGTTCTTTCTCCATCGGTGTTTTCTTGGCATTTTTACGATGTCGGATCCGACCAGTTGACAGTGCACATACTTGCAATGCAGAGCCATGCTAGCGCTATCGATCGCGTAGCCGTGCACAGACTAGTTACCGCATTTTCATCATGTCTTCTAAATTGGCGTGGCGGGAACCAGTCATCGCCGCATTGGGCTGGGTTTACGCACATGATTATAGTCACCGTGACATCGAATTGCGAAGTAGTTATATCACGAAGCGAATTTGTAAAAATAACGGAGGTTTCTTTTGAAAAAATAGGCCTCATAATCTACAACTGAAGTTCATGGAATACAACATGCAATAAAAGTTAGCCTTGGCCTCGAAGTCTATGTTTAAAACTATTAAAGATGATGCACGCCAATGCCTGCTGCAAATTCCGCAAACGTATACGCACGTCACATGCTCAGGCTAGGCCTGCAGTCCAGCAGTCCAGCAGCAGTACACGTGTTTACGTATACGTACAGTACGTAGGTCGTGTAGAATTATGTGCATGGAAAAATGGTGCATCTGGTTACCAGACGATCCCCCGAATAATATGATGATAGAAGAGAACGGAATAGTCAGAACCAGACTTAACTGCATCGATCATAGAAATAAAGTGAGTTATGATCCGCGCGCATCGCAAACTTGGCCGAGACTAGGGTTCAGCGGGAAGTCATTCAATTTTATTCGAAAAAGAAGTGGTCATTCTTGTTTCTAAATTCTTTTAGTTGTAAATGAACACTGTAGAGTCAAAAAAATTAAACCTGGCGGCTGGATTTTAAAGCTTGGCGGTGACTTCTAAAACATGGCGGGCGCCGCAGAAAACATGGCGGGGCGCCAGGTTTGTTTTACATGTTGGAGAACACTGGATGTGCCTCAAGTCTGTGTTAAGTTATAAAAAGACTCTGTGCACAAATAGTAGATTGTGCTTTGTCACCACTTTTGCAAGCTTAATTGGCCTGGAAACACAGCGTGGTTTGTGCTTATGACGTGAAGTACGCTCAACTTATTTGATTCTGAATATGCACAACCTATTGCGTGTTCTCATGAGCATCTGCAGCGCCATGGACTACATTTGAATGTCCCTCCCAGTGGTTTCCCCAACTTTCCTTTTGTAACCATGGAAGGATACTTGTGCACAGAATCCATTGGGCTGTTCCTTTCTCAGTCCTGTAAAGTCCCCAAATACGATGGATTTGAAGGATTTGGGACATTGAGATTGGGCTAGCACTGTTCGGTATCAGTATCATAAATCTGATAAAAATGTTGAGTTTATTCCATCATCACTATCAGGCTGCAATTTGTCTCCTTTTCCTTTTTACCACATTGACCTTGTCAGTTAAGATGACAAAATTACCCTTCCAACCTTCCAAAATGAGAAGCAGCTGACCGTTTATTTAGGGCAGCCTTTTGTTGAAGTTGAGAACCTTGTAAAAGGAAAGTAAAAATTGTGAGGATAATTGTTCCTTGAACATGCTGTCAGTTGGTTTGCTGGTGTGTTTGCGTGTGTGCAATGCATGAACACCTTGAGGCATTTAATAACAAGCAGCCTGACCTGATATGACCTGAACAGTTTTTGTCCTTTTCACTGGTACATGTAAACACATTTGTATTGTGGGCCTTTTAAAAGAAATATGGTAATTGACACTATCATGGACGACTAAATATTGGTCATGTACATGTAAATACATGTAAATGTGTGCAACCACATGTACTGGTTGGCCTGCCTACATGTAACTATAACATACACGAACATACATACACATGCTGTAGAAAATATCCATTATTAGAATAATGTATGTGTATGACTAAGAGCCCAGTCACCTTCTGTGTACATCAGTGTTTTACATAGTGAGATGTACAAAATGTACAGTACATGTACATACATGCACATGTCTTTGGGTTACCCTGCAATTATATATTATGTACATGTACATTGAATGTAGAAGCCTACATATATGTAGGGGTGTGCATTTACAGGTAGGACAGGAATCAAGTACCCAATTGGAAAAAAACCCAGGTACCCAGATACCCGTTAAAGCAACCCAACCCCAAAATGGAAGTTGCTGTTCAGATTAATTGTAAAGGTTCGCACGTAAATACTATCACATCGGTGCGTCAATGCAGCCAGATACAAGTGGGTACAGTGAGTTGTATAGCTTTACGGTGTTAATTGCATTTTCGCAAACGTCATAAATGTAAATTATCTGTTTTATTTTTACATGTATGTATGTAGCTTGGTTTTCATTTTGAAAATTCCACACAAATGACGTTCAACACTTTCTTTTTCATTGTCTGAGAAGTTACTAAGTAATTTGTAAAGTTGGTTACAGGTTCTCGATTCCATAATCTAGAACCGGTTCCTAACATCAACGGTCGGGCACTCCAGTACCAAGATCGATGCACGGCCATAAGCCTTCATGAGTTTTTTCATAACAGTCTATTGCCCTATAGTTTATGTACGTCCCAGGTACATGTACATGTACATTTGTATGTTCATGTATGCACATGTGTACACATCACCATTCATGCACAGAGCAGCCTTGGCATTGTTGAATGCATACTGTGTGTACATGTGTATTTTCATGCTTGTATATTGGTTTTTCCAAATGATTTCAGCACTAAGCCTATACATTGTAATTCAAGCCCCTGAACCTATTTCATGCCCCTGAACCTAATTCATGTATAAAGCACACCAGTGTAGAGTTGCTGCATATCCACATTATGTGTATACACCATTGACAATGTAAGCACTGTGCTTGGAAACCTGATGTAAGTTCAGAGAAATACATGTACATGTACAACTTGAGATTTGCCGTGGAGAGATCAGAACAATTAGCCTTGAGGTGCATTGTGTAGAATAAAGGCCTCTTTTCTTGCATGTTACATTTTAACACAGATGTACCCAAGCTGCATTCATCAATGTGTATGGTTTTATGGTTTATGGTTTATTTAAAAACATGACATACCGTACATGTATAGCAGTTAGAAACTGAATTGCATGACATTTACAACATTAAAAAAAAAAAATTATAAAGCACATATAGATATTAAAAGTACATGTACATGTACATGTATTTAGACTTTGAACTTTAAAAAAGCCTCGTCTGCATTCTGTACGAGGAAAGAGTCTCGGCCTTACTTGAAATACATTTCTATAGAGAAAAAAAATGAAATGGACTTAAATTGTACATTATTATTTAAATAAAAAGTATAAAATCACTGGGCAAGAAATGGTATTACATGAATTATACATTGGTGTTTATTCATTTCATATGTGGTAGAGAACAGTGTGAATTGCCTTCCTCTGTGAGTGATATCAATATGTTTCTTTGTTTTGTTTGTTTTTAGAACCTTGATTATATTATATCATTTCTGCACACCTTGGAAGCCTTGCGGTCCCTTCGTGAACCTGCCCTACGAGAGATTGCTAAGAATGTCCGTTACATCAAGAAAGAAGCCAATGACATCTTGTACTGGTTGGTATTTTTTTAAAAATCTGGAACCATGGAGATTTCACATCGAGATATCTCTTTTGATTTCATTTTTATAAGTATTTTTGAACAAAGAAAGCTCTTTGTTGTGCTTTCTGCTTAATTCTGGAAATTTCTGAAGGCCAGTTATGGCTGTACCAAATATACCGAATATTTGAATATTCAGTCATCCACCAAATATCCAAAGAGCTTTTTCTTTCAACGAATGAAAATATTCTCACCATTGCACGAATGCAAAACATTCATTGTTTGTTTTATATAACATCCAAATAGATCTTTGTCATTCGATTGGAGGATAAAACTTTTAAGAACAAACAAAACTGGGCTTGTTCTAGGCTAACAAGGCTTTAAAAGTCAAATCATTGACAATAATGAAAAGGAACATTGTAATTTCTTAAAACAATGCAAAAATATCAAGGCAACTGCATCAACTTCGAAGGCAACTTTTGTACTGCTGTAATGCATGATATGGGCTGAATAGCACAAAGATCATATACATGTAGCGCCGGGTTGCTGCGCGTCGTAGCGTGCGCGCGGCGTGCAATAGTTTAAAAGGGATGGGAAGACAATGCACGGTGAATGGAACCAAATGCACGGTTATGACGAGGCCGTGCATTGGTTCGATTAATGAATGCCGCATGACCTACAATCCTCCAATCAAATGACAAGGATTTACCGGTACTTGGGTGTTATAAAATACCTATTATACAACACCTGAATAAATCCCCGTTATCTGATTGGTGGATCGTTGATCACATGTCATTGAATTATTCGTCCAAACGCATGGCTCGCACGTGGCACGCAGCGCACAGTGCTATGGAAGTTCCATTGCACGCTGAATAGAACTTCCATTGCGTGGTGTCATTGCTGCTGGTGGTGGCGCTGTTTTCAATCGAGGTAAATTGAATACGATTGTTCTCAACCTGTTGAACAGTTTGCATAAATTTAATATGATGAACTTGTCGAACTTTTAAACAGTTTTTAACCTGAATAAATTGGCTATTAAAAGTCAACCAATCAGATGACAATGATTTTTTCAGGTGTTATATGAAACAAATAATGAATGTTTCACGTTCGTGCTATGGAAAGAATAATTTCTTTTGGTGACAGAGGAAATGTTCCATTCCACTCGGCTTCGCCTCGTGGAATGGAACATTTCATCTGTCACCTCATGAAATTATTCTTACTATTGCACTCACAAACATTAATTATTTGTATACCATCCACCCCAAAAATAGACCTAAGACCTAATGAGGTAATGGCTTTGTTTACATATGCTCTTTCCTATGTGAGCGAAGTCGGGACGCCAGATGAAGTAGGGACCGTCTACCACATAGGAAACATGTAAACAAAGCGTGACGTCATTAGGTCTCAGGCCTATTGAGGCAGGAGTTGCTAGATAGACTGGGATTTAGGTCATAGAACTTTCTAGAAAACTGGAGTTGCTGTCTGTGGCTACAGTTATTCACCGTAGCGTGCTAATGACAAAAACGTAAATCATAGCCGCTAATACACTTCAATCGGATGCCGTTAACGATGCAAACCACACACTGTGTTCACTGTGTGTGCATGTTCACCATGCCAATGAGATTGGTATGTCGTCCATTTTTGTCCTTCATACATGTAGGTCTGTCATTAATGCGTTGTTGTCCAGACATGGTGCATCAAACAATCGTTAATTATACTAACGTCAGTGTAAGTAAATGATTCGTCGTGAGCAGGACACAAGGAAACGTAATTGGACCCCAAATGGTGGACCTACTGTGAACGCTGATGCACCTCCCCCGGGGGTCCCCGGGGGTCCCTGGGGGATCCTCAAAAATCTTCTTTGCCAAATGGAGGATTTTGCAGGATTGAAGCTATATGGCAAAAATGTGTGGCTGATTTTGGAGGATGCACTGTGTCAAGGTCTTGGGCCGGACCTTGTTTTGTTTATGCTCAACCGTGCATAAATTTAGGCCTAGATTATACTTGAAATCCTCCCCACTGCTCAAGGATGTCACTGGCTCTGCCTCAACATACATGTATTGACGGTGATTGCTGGAAGATTTTGCAGGATTGAGGCAGTGGTCACCCCTCCAAGGACCACATTCAGGATTTTGGAGGATTGAGGCTGTATGCAATTTTTACATGGAGGTAGTTGGAGGATTTTGCAGGATAGGTTGCATCCTAGCAAAAATGCCTAGGGAGTTGGGGTTAAGCTTGTACAGTGCATGGAACAAGTATACGGATGCTATGAACAAAACCCCAGCAAAGCACATGGCTTATTAGAGTTGTTCATCTAACAAGCATTTTGTATTTCTGGAAGGAATCGAAAAGGACCACATTCTATATAGCATTGCATTTTGTGTGTAGTTACTGGTAGCTACAAATTTTGGTTTTAATATGGCAAAATGGTTAAAAGGGTAGAATGATCCAGGGGAAATTCCTTTTGTTGTTTAGCATAATTGCAAAAAAAAAAAGGTATTTCAAATAATGTCATTTACGTATTTTGAACTTAAGATACAATGCACTTATAGCACACAAAAATGGTTAACACTTTTATGGCTGACATACCTCATTTCTAAGCGTCAAGCAGACCGTGATTAATTGTTTGACCTATACAGCCAGGTTCTATTTAGACAAGTGCTGAAACCATGAGTCATTTTTTTTCTCTCTTTTCAGCTGTTCATACAAGCATTTATCAGTTGAGTATTTACATTTGTGAAACCTCACTAATCAGCTGTCAGCCTTTAGGGGCAGGAGTTCCCTTGTTTATTTACTGGTTCTCCCCCAGGGCCAGCTTTTATCAATTCCTTGAGTGGCATAATATTAATAGCCTACCTTTTCATAGAAAACAAGAGTTGTATGCTTAGCAGTCATACTTTTTAAAGCATTTTTGTCAAAATTGTCTGGTGTTATCAAAGGGAAAATGACCAGTGCAAGGAAATCTGTAAATTAACCCTAGATATCCTCTTTGGCAGTATTTGTTTAAGAACCATAGCGGTATGTATGTCTTTCAGAGGTACAGTCAGTGACCGAGCAGTGCAGGATTGTCCTTACCACCTTGAAAGTGGGTCCAAGTAACCTTTTAACAACAAATGCCTTTGAAGGTTTGATTTGCAGTATACATGTACTATTACTACAGAAATGATAAACAATACTTTAGCAAGGATTTAACATTTAAAAACTCACAATTGTTCTTGGTAGTGCTTCAGCTGAACTGCCGAACTGAACAAAAATTCACCGAACATACAGTGTAGCCCTTCAGAACTGAACCCAACTGAATTGTTGAGTTCGGATACATATTTTTATTTGCACAATCAAAAAACAAACAAACAAAATTTGCATCATAAAATTACCGATTTTTACTTCTAACTAATAGAAAACAATATTTTAGGCTGAAAAAAATTGACTCAAACTGAAAGGAAATTTGTATACTTGTACGTGCAGGGGCGTACATTGGCGACACAATCCATGTTCCAAGCCGCGTCACACCATCACTGGATCATAGATGAGAGGCCACGTGCACCCGCCGCCAGTAATTTGCTAAAATCACGCTGCTCAAATGTTACCAATCAGAGTTTCCATACTTGGAATAAATACATTGAAACAGAAAAAAATACGTACACAGATAAGAAAGCTTCCTGTTTTGTGAAATTACAGGCTGAAATCATCATTTTTAGATCATTTAAAACATGTTTGCTTGACATATTTCAAGAAGTGGTTGTTGTTGCTGAGTTAACTGGTTGCTGGCCTTTATACCGTTCGTTATCATCTTTATGAGGCGGGAACCACTTTATGTGCTAAGCAAGAAGATCTTGGAGGAATAACAGTTGCTGTTATCACGTCTATGTCGGGGAAAAATTGTTTGGCAATGCTTCATGCACTGTCAATCACCATCAATGAAAAAGAAGAAATACTAAAGGGGTACTTTTTGAGAGTTTTTGACGTAAACTGTAGTTGAGATGGGTTTTTGGTAAGACAAAATGGGCAATATGGACGTGTGTTTCAGGAATGAAACTCAATCCATTTCAAATTTTGCACTTCGAGCACGTAAAAAATACATACTTTTGTATTCGTGCTGTAAAGCAGGGGCAGTTTGGTGTGGCCAGGTTTACATGTATTCTGACCCATTACATAAATGGAGTTATTATGCATGAAGACAGATAATGGGTATACTCCCGCAGCAAGTCGTTTGATATTGGAATTTGCTGCAGAACCCAAACCAAACCAATGATCAGATACAAATTGCCGAACCGAACCCGAGGGCTCACTTGCAGCACTAGTTCTGGGCATACATGTATTTCTTCTTGGATTATTCTCAATACCATTAGATTTTGTAACAAGAGTCACAAAGAAACCATAGAAATATCTGCTTTTGACAGACAGTGACTAGATACATGCCAGTCAAAACCAACTACAACATCCAAGATAAACTAGAGGTTCGCGTTTGTTGTTACAAACGCAGAGTGGTCGGGTAGACAACTTTTTCATTTGACATTGTCCAGTTAAGTTATGAATATGTTTATGTCAGAAAAAATGATCACGAACTTTAACCTTTCCAGTACCAATTATTTTGTACAAAAAGAATGCGTCTTTTAGGGTATGATAAATTTCAGTAAACATTTGGGTACACGTACAGGTTATTTCCGGTTTGATGACATCATCAGTCAAAAAGGGAAGGGAGGACACTTGTTTAACATTAAGTAAAAATAACGCATGGAAATATGGAAATTAAGTGTATGTGATACACTTAATTTGTACGGAAAAAAAGAAAGAAAGAAAGATTAATCGCAACAAATCCAAAGAGTGGTCGGGTTGTGCCTGACCACTCAATGACAACCTGATTTCCCAAATTATCCTTATCTGATATTGTGATGGGTCCACATGACACAAGTACATGTACTCCCCCCCCCCCCCTAATCATGCATATAACATGATGTTGGCAATTTCATGACTAACATTGTCCTGTTCTTTATCTCTCTGCAGTCGAGATGATCGCAGCACGTGTTGGTACATCCTCTTGTCAGGCTCTGTCTTCATTGATCAGGCCATGTTCCTACCTCGAAGCAGGTGAGTTGCTAGCTGAAAAGTTGACTGCCATGGGCCCTGTTGAACTTTGTGTTCAAAGAGGCTGGTCTGGCAAGGTTTCACCACATGAATGGATTCTCACGTAATAGCTTATGATAGCAATCTTCATTTTAATATGACAACACAATAGGTGACTCCATTATTTTTGGCAGTTGAAACTTTGCTTTGTTCCAAAATGGTGGTTCCTAATTGAAATATTTTCAGTTAGGAATTGCCTTCTTTTTTGTTTACTGATGTTGCATTAGGATGAAATATGTATGCAGATTTTACTGTTAGCATTGGCACTGTGGCTGTATAATTAGCTGTGACTTTGGCTAGGAACATCAATCTCTTCTAACCATACCGGTACCTGCAAACCAAAATTCTTTGCAAACCAGTAATGTGTAACTGTTTAAGTGCAAAATTTTCTGCTATAATTAGTAGGGATGTTTTTACGTACATGAACAAGGAATTGGCTGGCAAACATGATGCAATCGATCGTGACATTATATCTGCTGTTCTTGGACCTTGAGGATCTTTTCTTTGCCAATGAGATCCGGACTCTACATCATCATTGGCAGAAGTGTATGAACCTCAAAGGGGACTACACTAGGCTCAGAACTGATCATAATTACTGTCTAAAAACATCCACCAGTTGCATCATGTTTGCCAGCCAATTCCTTGTTCATGTTTGGAAAGTTATTGAAGCCAGACAGTGCCAGATGTGGGGAATAAGCTGGGTGAGTAGTGAGTTCAAAGCCACAGTCATGTAACCATGGCAACTATTGACTTGTGAGCCAGTATACATTGGTAACCTACTAACTTCGGTGACCTGAACCATAAACAAACCAATGAGAGTATTTGATTCACAGAGCACTTTGTAAACAATCAGAAGTGCTGTACTTAATACATGTACAGGATTTTAATGGTGTAGCACAGTCCCTTCCTGGTTGGGCTCAGAATGTTTCAGCCAACATGTACCAGTACATGTACGTACATGTACGCCTTGGTCAAAGACCAAAGACCTCAAGCTGTTTGAAACCTCAGTGTATTCGTGTACATGTACATTCCTGTTGTCTTGCCCTGTTTAAATAGGTTGTCAAACATCTCTGAGCTAAAGGAAAGCCAGAAAGGCAATTCCAATTGCACTTGTGAAGGGGTGTATAATTGAGTGCTGACAACACCCTTATTGACTGCATGTCTCATGCATGAACAGCACCATGATTGATTCTTCTATTTGCTTCCGGCTCACAAATACTCTTAAAGTGAGCACATGTGACAAAGCTAATAAAACAGCTGAATGTATGCAAAGGGAAAACCAGCTCCAGCTTTTACACTCTATCCTTGTATGCTGCCCTCTAGAGTCAATAAGTGTATTAAGTGCATGTCTATTGATAAACAAACTGGATTTAGCATTATTTTTTATTGATATTGAAAATCACTTTGATGGCAATGTGGTGTTCTTGTATGAGTTTAGCCAGTCAGTTAAAACCCATTGACCAAAATGGCATACATGTAGTCAAAATAGCAACTCCAAAGAAATAGATTTCAGTTTCCAAAAATATCAGATTCTCACAGCTTGATGTGATAAATGATCATGTGATATCAGGGGGAGGTCCCGCTGCTTTTTGATTGGTATAGAGTATGTAGATTCTGATTGGAATCATGACTCTATAAAGGTTAACAGTTGGAGTTGACTAAGCCTACATTTGTAAATGTCAAAGCTGTTGTTTTGATGTGACAATGTATAAAATGCACATCAAGATCGATGCCCTTAGATTCCAAGGATGTGTCAGTTGATTAAAAAAAACCCAAAGTTTTGAATAGCTGTTGCTTCAAGCAGAAAAAAATGAGAAAACCTGTGGAGCTTAGGCCCATTGTAGACCCATTGTAGACTACGATAGCCTAATTATTGTAATAATGTCTCTCAAATTGGTGCAGTGCGAGAATTGTGTCTCATTCATTATTTATACACTGACATTGATATTACCGATATTATGTGTAATTTTTTGTACTCATACATGTTCATTTATGTGAACAAAGACAGTAAAAATAGTCATATTTTTTGTTCAACACATTACTACTGCTGGTATGTTTCTTTGTCATAACCACTATTTGTTTTTGGTTTGTTATACATTATTTTAGGACACACGATTACCACAAATATGACCACCAATGGCAGTAAAAAAATGTCTGAAAAGAACATGTACGTCATTCCTGCATGTGTATTGAGCCAATTAGATCGTACCATTTTACTCTGTCCTTGGCTGCGTAAATGAAATGTCTGCGCACCTTTGCTAAGTGCTAAATTTCATACCAGTACATGTTCATGTCCATTGGTTTTACCGGTATATACAGTATGTACAGTAGTGAAAAGAGTGTCTTGGAAAACACATTTTATCAACAAAGCTACATATTTTTACTTAAAAAATGTTTGACTAAAAATAGACATGTACATCTACATGTAAATCATGAAAAAAGTCAACTTGAAAACAGCCTGTGCTTTGAATTGCAGACTGATCTTATTTGTTGCATTTTCCCCACCATTTCTGATACAAATAAGTACCTGATTGATCATGCGTACTCGGAGCCTTACCACGCTTGTTTGTTTGGAGATTTTTTTCCGTATACACACTTGAGCATCAGTCGCCATCAACCGTGCACCGTCGCCATCTGTGTGCAGTAATAAACACACTGATAGGATAAGTGACGCTGCAAGAAGCCATACTGACTCAGATGTCTTAATCCTTTTACTTGGCAGCTTTGGCAAGCGTACATCAGGCAGTGGGCGTAGGGGCGCTGATTGCCTCATCTTAGAGGCCTCCGAACTACTTGTGGTAAGTCATCAATTTGGTTTAATATTTCCTGCAAACGCTTCGCTTCAAAATATGTTTTTAACTGTGAATTGTATAATCTCGTGTTTGTCCATTTGAATTTGTTGCCATGTTGGTTACCATTAACCCTTACTCTCTGAGGGTAGTTTACTGCATGTCAGTTGGTTATGCCAATGCCCTCCAGCTGCAGTTTATTGGAGGATACTTTGATGTAGCAGTGAAGGCTCCAATTGGCAGGAGTTGGAGGCCCTGGAGGGTGCCTGATACTGACCAGCTGGGGGCACTCACTTTGTTATCAGAGGACTCTCATTGTTCTCTGTGGCATGTATTGGAGTGCCTGTCCAGTTACCCTTGAAATGACATGGCAGATATTGGAGGGCCATGCAAAAAACATAGGAGATTTTCTTGAGGCACAATTGGCATGCGTTGGAGGGTCTAGTAGGGTAAGGGTTAATAAAGTGCAACTACATGTAGGCAAACCAGCCATAGCAAGGTACATGTAGATGGTCGAATGGTTGAGATGTCTGCAGTACTGGTAAGCAGGAGGTCATAAGTAGGAGACTCGCCAATTAAATGTACATGTAAGCTTGTTACTTGTGCTGCTGAAAGGCAAAGCATTGAAATATTGAAGTTCATTGTACATCTACATGCACATGACCATCGTACATCTTTCCTTTGTGTTTGCCCAATATTTACACTTGACAAAAATATTAAGTGAATACAGTGTTAATAGCTAAGGAAATGTCTAACCGGGAAAATCTTGATAATTGACTGATGATATCATTCCTGTTACGAATGTTTTGTAAGGATTGAGGAATCAACACAAAAACCAACACGAAACAAAGTTTATAATAAGCTAACAAGGATGCCATACATTAATCTTAACAAACTGACTTTCTCAATGTTCAGAACATAATGGACAACCTCTGGTTTGTTACGTTGACAAAATTGTCGTGATATATTCAGTTGACAGCAACTACATGAGCGTGCACTGTACATAATTTCCAGACAAACCTTTCAAAACATTCCAAGAAACTTTGTTAAATTTTGATGAAATGGGAGCAACAAAAGTTTGGCATCTCTTACATATGGAAATTCTGCACTCAAGAAAAGTCAAGAAACTTGACGATGATAAAAGAGGTTTTTGGCTTTGCAATGCAAACCTGTGGTCAGTCCCCCTCCCTGGTCCCAAGCGTGCAGGTTGCCATGGGTAACCTAGCCTAGGCAACAGTCGGGAGACTCAGTGAGATTGCATATTAAAGTTTCTCTGAAAAATTATACAAGTTGCCTGAATCAAAAAATATTCTGACTTTCACTGGTGAAATTATGATATTTTTTCATTCCTCTTTCATTCATCGGAAATTTCTGAAAATTATTAATTTGCTATGATTTCTTCAAATCCCTTAAAAACCCTTTTTTTGAAGGAATGATTTATATTCAATGATATTTAAATATAAAATACAAAAAAAATCAAGTCTTTAACACATGTTATTGAAATTTTAAGAGAATCATTGGATTTTCCAACAAACAAGATTGTCAGTTATTTTACCCAGTCAGTGCCAAACATTGTAGCACAACTGGATTGATTTGCAACAGCATTTCCTGATGTGTTTTTCCCCCTAGGGAAACTCTGATGTACACTTAGGCTTTAATTGCAGTGGAGGTTTAATTTGAGTTGACACATTTGATGAAACCCTGCAGGGTTTTCACTTTAACAGCAGTGTGTCCAGATTATCATATTATCAGTAGTGCCTGGTCAGTCATCAGTGGTCAGTCATCATTGGTGTGAAGGTCAATTAACGTGGATCTCCCAATGTCAAGTTTTGTCCAACATAATGGGCATATTTCTTTTGCATAAATCTACTAGACTTGGCCCAAGTCTGAGTTGCGCTCGGTCTGTGCCTATAGTAAGTCCACGCAAAGCGCATACGTCCAGCCGTACAAAAACGTACAATGTACATGTATATTGTACATGTTATTTTCATGATGCAGCAAAGTCCGAGACTTGGTCAATCTGCAAAGCGTACGCGCTCGTTTGCTCCATGTTTGTACACAGTCTATTGAAAGATGGCCCTTTTGGAGAGATGGTAACTAAGTAGTTTTTGTAAACAAAATTTATTTCAAATTTTTTGAGATACCGACTTAAAGCAGTTCCGACTTGAGTCAAGCCTATAAAGCTACAGCTGTTCACCAGAACGCACCAATTGATGCAAAAACTGAAGCTGCAGACTCAAAAACCTTTTTGTAGTCACAGCTCAAATTGGTTGAAATTATATTGTGATATCGGAAAATAAGAAAATTGAAAAGAAAACAGGATAAGGAAATTGCAATATTCAATGAACTCAAAATTCCAAATACATGTACATTGTATACTTGGAAATGCATTCATATTGCCATTTTTTCCAAAAATGCTTTTCATTTAATAACCATAATCTTTTGATGATTATTAAAAGTGCATAAAGGAATTAATTATGAAACAAACTTGAAATTCAGAAATATTATTTTTCAACATGATCTGCAAGTTTTTGGCTTCCAAATTGTTGTGTTGCAGTGGTCTAGACTCATTCTTGCTATACATATTTCAAGCATCAAATTTTGAACCACACTATATCAACAAAAGACTGGTGCAACATACAAAGTACTGTGAGATACATGTACATTTATCAGGTCCTACACTATGTACATGTATGTAGCTTCAGAATTATCCATATAGTTATCCCAGCACACAAACGCAAAAGCGTGTGTGACAGAAATGACGAGGTGCGCTCCAACAGCTGGATTTTTGTGGACCAAACTTTTGTACCCTGAAATTCATTTGCACAGTAATTTCACGAAAACAGCAAATTTCCAATGATAACAAATTTGATTTTTGAATCAAAATTGGCATTCAGCAAGCTCAGTTTTGAGTAGGTTTTAAGAGGATCATATTAATTTCAATGTGAAGCCCACACAAGCATATTAACCCAGTATCGGTTTCCACTGCAATTGTTTTCAAGTACATGTACCTTGCAGGAGAAGTCCTAGAGATATGTCTGTTACTTCCCCCCCCCCCCCCTCTGCACCGAGGGTGTCTTTTGGACAAACAACAATTCCTTGGGTAAAGGTCAATGAGTTATATGCGTAATAAATACTACGTAGATATTGTAACGTGCGTAGCCAATCGGTTTCCCTAGTGTCTGGAAGGCCTCATCACAATCTTCTGTCCACTGGAAGACCCGATTCTTCTCCATCAGCCGATGCAATGGTTGAGCTATTTTGGCGAAGCCTTTTATATAGCGTCTATAGTAGGATGCCAACCCAATGAAGCTCCTCACGTCCCTGGTAGACTGAGGCACTGACCACTCCTCCACCGCTCTGACTTTCCCCGGATCTGTGGATACCCCGTTTCTGGATATAATATGGCCAAGATAGGTGACTGACTGCTGAAAAAGGCTGCACTTCTTGGGCTTCAACTTAAGATTGGCCTCCCTGAGCCTTTGGAACACCTCCCGCAGTCGGTCTACTTCATCGTCCACACTCTCGGCAAAGACTATTATGTCATCCAGGTACAAGAGAAGGGTCCTCCACTGAAGACCAGCAAAAATCCTCTCCATCAGCCGTTCGAAAGTAGCAGGGGCGTTACATAAGCCGAATGGCATTACATTCCACTGATAAAGCCCAGATCTAGTCACAAAAGCCGCCTTCGCCTTGGCATCATGGTCCAGCTGCACCTGCCAGTATCCACTTGCCAGGTCAAGCGTTGAGAACCACTGGGAACCAGCAAGTGAATCCAAACTGTCGTCAACCCGAGGTATGGGGTAAGCGTCTTTCAGGGTGTGAGCATTGAGGGATCTATAATCCACACAAAACCGGGTAGAGCCGTCTTTTTTCTTTACCAGTACGACCGGTGATGCCCACGCGCTGCTAGACGGCTCAATTATCCCCTTCTGCACCATTTCCCGAACTTGCTCATCTGCTTCCGCCCTCTGCCAGATGGGAAGTCGCCTTGCTCGTTGACGAATTGGCGTCGTTTCATCAACCCGGATGCTATGGTGGACAATATCTGTCTTGCCCAGGTCACCCAAACCCTTGGAAAATATGTCTTGATAATCTATCAGTAGTTTCTTGACTCGTTCTCTGTCGGCATTATCCGACAGTTGGCTTACACTCTGCTGGTAAAGTTCGGCAAGATGTTCCGGTACTTCCCTTGATCCCTTGTCCGCCCTCTCCATTATTGTTACTGACACCCCAGGGGGTTCTACATCTTCCTCATTTATGGCTGTGAGTGTCCCTACTGTACATCCTCCACTGACTGTCGCTACGCTTGCACCTGGGTTAAACACTCGAATTGGGTAGCTGTCAACTCCCGCATCCACCAGCACTCTGGCGACCAGTAACCCTCTTTCGGACAAGACGTTCCTGTCAGTGGGCTCAATCATTCCCAAACCTTGGAGTTCCATCGGCTGTTCCAGGACTCCCGTGATGATGGCTTCATGTCCTGGTGGAATCCGGGATGTCTTTTCGGCACGGACCTTATAACAAGATGAAGTGGTTCTCTTGCCATCACAAAGGGGCACGGTGTGCTCCGCTATTCTAAGTTGAAGTTCTTTCAGGTCCAGGGTACAGGCAGTGGTCAGCAGAAAATTCATTCCAAGTATGCCCCTATTTCTAATTGGCGCGACAATGACCTCCACTTCAGCACGGTATCCTCCTATTTGTACCCCCATCAGGGCACTCCCCTTGGCTGTTAGTGGCTTACCATCCGCCTGGCGGATTACATCACTAATCGGCACCAAACTGGGACGAACTCCTCTGATCATCGAGTTATACTCTGTGATACTAATCAGTGTCTCTGAAGATCCTGTGTCGATCAGAAATGGCAACGAGTGTTGGCCGATTTGCCCTTCCACATACACTCCATGAAGTGCTCCTATTTCTTTTGGATGCGATTGAACCGTTTCTCCATCCGAACCATCCTCGTCAATCCTTAATTTTTCTTTGCCTCCACGACCACCACCTTGTTT